AAGGGCCCATTATAAAATGCAGCAAATTATATATAAGAATATTATTTATATATGTGTGTGTGTGTGTGTGTGTGTGTGTGTGTGGCATTCGGCTTTGCTCGGGTATTTTCCCACGTCATAGTAGTTGTGCTTTTAAAGTTGTAGCTGTAGCTGTGGAACAGCTGTCCTGCCCTACATAAGAGATACTACAGACAAAATTAGTAAGATACTGCACAGATATCACATCAAGACTGCCTTCAAAACAGACAGAAAAATAGCAGCCATCCTTAGAAACCCCAAAGATAAAATTTACCTGGAAAACCAAGGCATATACGAAGTCCCCTGTGCATCATGCCTGGCCACATACATTGGACAGACCAATAGAAGAATAAGTACCCGCCTGGATGAACACAAAAATGCAGTCAAAAAGCTGGAACACACTTACTCACTAGTCCAACACATGGAAGCCACAGGTCATAGCATCAACTTCAATGGCACCAAAACCCTAGCCACTATAGAAAACCCCAGCCACAGAATCATCAGAGAAGCCATAGAGATTGAAAAAAGACCAGAAAGCATGAATATAAGAGATGATTCCACCAGACTGTCAATCATTTGGAAGCCTGCACTCAGAAAGAAAAAAATCTCCACACCACAAGCCAGGCAAACACCTGGGCACAGACAGATCCCCCCTGATACCTCCAGCTCAAACACACTCCAACCAGGCACCCAGATGAAACCTAGCTTCCTAACCAATGATAGCCGTCCATTTACCCGGAGCCAAGCTGCACTAAAGGCCTCCAATAAAGTAACACAATGTTGCCAGCCAATCAAGAGACAAAAAGAGCCAAAAAACAGACAGGAGATATTAGAAACACCAATCAAGCAGAACACAGCGAACTCCAAGACCAATAAACACAGACCAAGACTCCCAACCAATCAGGGTGAAGAAAAAACCATTCTGGCACAGCAATAGGCTGCCCCAAATTTAAATCTGAAACCACTATAAAAGCCTGACTCACAGATGAACACTATACAGAAGCCTGATGATGGCAGATGAGATTCTGCTGAAACGTCAGCTACAAATTTAAAAGCACAACCACTATGACATGGGAAAATACCCGAGCAAAGCCGAATGCCATACATGTAAGTACCCGTGAAAACCTAAGAATATATATATATATATAT